TGTTCAGTAGATGTGTGCTTAGCGCTGCTGAAGTGAAGTGAATCATTGTTGATCATAGCTTGTATACATTGGCTTTTTCAGATTTGTTTTTTTTCCTGTGCCTGACTTTCTCTCCCTGAAATGAAATGCCAGGGTACAGGAAGCTCAGCTGTTGGTTTCTCTGACTTTGTTTCAAGCTGTGTTAGGGAATGATTCTCTTTTGCCTGTTTGGTAAATCAAATATCACTTGTATTATACTTAAAGCTTACCAACACAAGAGTAAGCTAGGCGTTTAGCTCTGAAGTCTGATAGTTTACTTCAAAAGTACAGTTTTACAGAGACTAGGTTCTTGATTTGCTTTAACTGGAGTCAAAGGTAGGATGATTTTTAGCTCTCGTGTTGCTTCAGGATCATGTACACACAACTTCCAGCATAAGAGCTGCTGCATGTTCCTGAGTAGTTGCTGCCCCTTCCTTTTTGAAGCCTCTACAAGTGTACGCTTGCCCATATCCTTTGTTGCAAATCTATGCGCAATAAAATTGTATGGTGCTATAAATATTGGATACGCAAGGAACCGCTTGTGTAAAGGATACTAGATAGCAGATGACATTCTGAAGGGGCTAATTTTGTTAACAGAGAGAACCTGCCAGCTAGGCAGATTATGTAGCTAACCCATAATTCTTAACTATACCTTCCTTATTTTTCCTGCTTTCCCCTCCAAACCATCCACTAAACTCGGATAATGTTTCTGTAATAAAAATAAATAAATACATATTGGTATATGTCTGAGTTGACACAAAATTAGTGGTTGATAAGCTTTGACACTAATTAAGTTGGTAACGCAATTGGTATATGGGGATGGTGAGTTAATCCTTTATTTATGGCATCCATGGTTTATTAAGGCCTTCAACCAATAGAAACTGTCAAATATCTGTCCCTTCTTTTTTTCTTCTGTGTTGACCATTAATATTTTGGTATTTGTTGCTCTTAGTTTCTTTTCAATACATGAATAGTCTTTTTTCCGATATCTTGCACAGTGCCTGTTTTTTAAACTCCCTGTGCATTATTACTTCTGCATTGTTTGTCGTCAGTAATTTTTTTTTCCCTGAAAAATGGATCTCAAAGCCATTGCTTTCAAATTTTCAGAATAGCATTGTACGAAATGCTAATGTAATACTAAATGTAATACTGCCAAAGAAAACTGTTCGGGTGAGGAAAAATGATTTGCAAATTAAGAATGTCTGGAAATAGAGGGAAGGAAGATAGGGAAAATTCAGTCTAATCTTTTAAAATTTAATTGTAAATCTGAAAAATGTGGATCATCAGAATTCACAAAACCCGCAAGGGTAAATCATATAGCACCAAGGGGGAGGTGTCCTCATCACTCAGCTTCTTGCTGAAACTCCCTTTGGAGCAAGTTTCAAAAGAGGCTGGCCCAGCACAAGATTAAGTGTGAGAACAGAAAGTGAAAAACAGTTTTGTTTTATTTTTTGAGGGGGGGGAGTCTTTAAGCTGCTGAGAATGTCTGACTGAAACACACAGAGAGAGAGAGAGAGAAATAAAATATGACCTCTTAGAGCACAGCCTGTACATATGTCTACACAGAAGTCAGGAGGTGTTGATCAAAGCTCATGCCTCTCTGAACCATTAATCTTTAAGAACCCATCTTGCCCTGCCTTCTACCTAAGGTGGCCACTGACACATCCCCAGGATACAGGACATGCCCTTGATGAGGGGCAGGCCCCCTTGTCTAATCAGCAGTGAGGGGTGGGGCTGCTGCCTCCTTGGCCAATCAGCAGTGAGGGGTGGGGCCACAGGCCCCTTGGCCGGTCAGCAGCAAGGAGCAGAGCCACCACCTTGCTTTCTCCCTAGCTGGCTCAGAGCCCCTCCTGGCTGTGCACCACCTTGCGTCTAGGCACAGCCAATAGAATCATGAGGAAAAATGATTGACATTCATTTCCACCAATGAACTGAAAAACAGGACTTTTTGCTGTCCATTCTTCATTCAAAAATGGACAGGGGGCAAAAGGTTTAAAAACAGGATGGTCTGATTATAAAACAGAACCAATGGCCACCGTACTTCTGCCTGACATCAGGCTAACATGACTAACAACCTCTTTCTTGTTTTAACCTGCTTAGTGTAGGTGCTGGTGTCGGGCTAGCCAAGGAAATGCATGTTCCTATGCATTCTGTGCTGCACTCCCACCTGCCCCACTGGCTGCTACTCCTGCTGCCATTTCCCCACCTTCCTGCTGCTGCTGCCGCCACTTCTCCTCTTCCCCTGCTGCTCTGGCAGCATATGGTTCCCAGCTGCATGGCAGGGACTGCAGACCACAGCAAGAGCCAGCCCAGCCCCTGTGGACAGGGGCAATTGTTGGTGGTCCTCCCCTCCCCATTGTTCTTATTTGGCTGCACTATGGGGTGGAGGGAGGCAGGAAACAGCCCCAGGGTCACCAGGCCAGAAGCCTTTGCTAGAGGGTGGGGCGGAGCCAGTCAGGCCTTGCTCCTCCTGGGTCCTGTTGCTGGTGCCTCCTGGTTCCTGCCACCGCTGGTGCCTTGTCAGCCTAGCCAGGCAGCCATGGACAAATAATAATTAATTTTATAAATTTTTAGGGGCCCCACAGGCTGAATAGGATGGCCTTGTGGGTTGGGTGCAGCCCATGGGCCATATTTTGCCCACCCCTGAAGTAGAGTGAGTGATTAGAATACAATAGGTGGGAATGCAGGAGGGAGGGGAAGGGAGGAGCAAGGGTGCTGGGAGAGGCATACAAAGAAAGAATCCATAAAAACAAAGGGGATAACAACAGCTATTCCAGGTCCTGGGATAAAAATCCATAGTCCCTGTTTGAACCATACTTAACACAGTCCAGTTTGTGCATGATTTCTTGTTCCACAATTTCCTGTTGAAACTTAAAAACAAAAACAAAACTCCTGCCTGAGAACAACAGTCCTGAGGCCACTGATGACGTGTTCAGGGAGGTTGAAGTGTTCTTCCACAGGCTTTTGTGTCTTTCTGCAGTTGATGTCAGATTGGCGTTCACTCATTCTTAAACATAGCTTGCCCTGTCTGAGGCAGACAGCAGCTGGGCATCGTAAGCAGGTGATGATTTATGTGATGTTGGTAGACCGGCAGGTGAATGAACCTTGGATGTTGTACTCCTTATTTGATCCAGTAATGATGTGTTGTGTTGATGTAGGGGCACAACAGGCATTTGAGTCCATTGTAAGGTCTGGTGTGTTGGTGAGGATGGGAGTTAGTTTGAGATGCACCATTTGAGGTTGTTATAGGAGCTACGGTTGTACCTTTTGGATTGCAGTAAATTTCACATAGTAAATTGTACTTGTCCCATGTAACTTGATCCTGACTACTATAACTGGAAGAATGTCTCCATGCTGCATCTGCTGTGTCTCAAGGAGTTTGCTTAAAACTGAAATCTAATGTGAAGTGTAGCTATACGGATCACTTTGTAACCCTTCAGATTACAATAGTCTTTCTCCAGCTGTAAAAATGAAGACAAAAAGTTTGTCAAGCTGCAGTTTTGTACATTCTGTCTTAAGGTTTTTGAATTTATCACATAACTTTTATGTTGGCAATCAAATACTAGCAATTTTTATTGCGTATTCTGTACCACACATCCAGAGGTGCTGAGATGCAAGCCAAATGGCAATTAAAAATAAACTACTTGACAGAAGAAGTAATAGAGCAAGGAAAGATGTCAAATTCTATGTTACTTTATGCTCTTACATAAAGGTATGGGAGTCTGCTTAATCAGATTCTGCGTTCTAATTGCCCTTTCTGCTGCAAGTCTTCTTTGCTACATTAACATGCACATGGCATCCAGCTGTGCTGTTTAATTTATGCAGCCATTTAGGTCATCTCTGAATTTGGCCCAGTGTCTGCAGAATGGATGTTTTTAATTAACAAGAGGTTGGAACATGAAGTTGGTTACGTTAATAGTGAAGCTTTCTGAGAATTGGAGACTGGAAAAGGGCATGAGCCTTGTAGAACAAACTTACCCTGAGTTGCAGGTGACTGAGAGAAAGCTACACTTGTTACAGTTGCTTAGAAGGGAGAGGAATGAAATCTATTTGGCAAGTAATTTTGCATTTTCATTCTTTTTTCCCCCTGTACCTTACTAGTGGAGTATGCTCTATTACATGCTACAGCTCATAAGTCTCTTGGTACCAAAGAAGTGGAGCGTAAATGAGGCGACCTGTGGAGTGGATGCTTTCTTAAACTTTCAAAGACCAATCAAGGTGTGTCCTTGAAGTGTAAACACTGCTAAGTGATGTTAAGGTGTTTCAGCAGAGTTCTGGGTAGAATTATCCAGTTTCCTTTCCTAGGCTTTTCTTTTGACAGTCATTTTGCTGAGCAAACTTGGTTTTTAATTTTGGTTATTGATGGAAAAGTTGAGGGAGAGACTTATTCCATTCTTATTTCAGGATTTAGTACAAAATTAGGGACATCTAAAAATATTATGAGTTTTCATTCTTTGATTACAATCCAGTTCTCAGCCCTAGTTTCTAATATGGAGTATGTGTGTGTGTGTACTTCTGGTCTGTAGTTTTGAAACTAGCAAAGGAGTAATGACTGAGTCATTTTTTAATGGTGGGCACTTGCACAGCACCCATGTCCAAAGATTTCAGGGGGCTCTGTGTGTGTGTGTGTGTGTAATATATATTAGACTTTTGAATTAGACTTCAAAGCACTCTTATGAAGTGAGTCTTATTGAACCTCCTGGCACTGTACCTTAGCCAAGTCACTTTTTTCATCTTGGACAGTAGCAGAGCTGTGGATAAAGTCATCATTATAAATTCCCTGGTTTAACTGTTCAATAACATTTTTGATAAAATGACTGGGACACTTGAAATGGTACACATTGCTTGAGGCACATTGAAATAAAGTGGGTTAGATAATAGAAGACTAATCTGTACAATTTTAATGTAATCATGTGCTTTCCCCCCCACTTATGATCTATTCCTATTTAAAGTTTGATTTATTTATTTATTCTTTCCTTTAGGAGAAGCAAAAAATCTTCCTACATATCCGGGGCCAAACAAGATGAGGGATTGCTACTGTACAGTAAACCTGGACCAGGAGGAGGTTTTCAGGACCAAAATAGTGGAGAAGTCACTATGGTAACAGATACTTGTTTGCACATGTATTCAGTCTGCTTTTTTAATACCATGGAACATTTCTGTTTTATACAAAGTGTATGTAATCTTCCAGATAGCCATTCTTTGTTGCACCAAAATAAGTCTTATTGCAGGAATTGGCAATCCTCAGCACACGTTCCAGAGCACAGCATGCAAAGCCATTTTCTTCTTCATGCCACAGCCAGCAGCAGGTGGCCAGGAAGCTGCAAGCCCTGCTACAAGCAGCCCAGGCCCTGTGGCAGGCAGCAGCTGCCCAGAGCTCAGGCCAGCTGCAGCTGGGAGGCTGCAAACAGTTGCATGGGACTCCGCAGCTCTGGCCCCAGCTCTGTGGCTGTGGTGACTACACGCACACCTCCAGTCGCACAGGCGGGAAGGAGCCCGGGGAAGTGTAACTCTGGCCTCTCTGCCACCCTCCTCCTGGAGGGCACGCATACAGCCACAGAGCTGGTGCCAGGGTTGTGGAGCCCAGCGTAGCTGTTTGCAGCCGGCCTGCCACTTGCTGCAGCTGCCTGGTGCAACCCCAGCTCCTCCTCTGCTGTCTGCCCGGGGGCACGTATGTGCCTGCTGCTGACAATGAGGATCGGGTCCTTCCCAGGTGCCCTGCCTCTAGCATGCCAAGCTGAGGCATGGGTGGAGGTTGGGTTGTTTTTGGCACTGGCCAAAAACGTTGCTGACCCTTAGCCTACTGGATTTTTAAATTGTAGGAATAATATAATAGCATAAATAGAGGCATCATGTCTTGGCTTCTAACAGTCTGTTTTATCTTGTATGTGTTTAAAAAAAAAATGGTTCTTGTCCTGAAGCAGAGCATATCAAATCATCTTCAAGAATTTACAGTGCATGCAGCTCTGCCTACTTGTTATGATATTTGTTCAAAACTGACAGCCAAAAAGCAGGACCATTTAATCCAGCTGTCAGGGTTGTTACTGCTTACTGTTCTCATGACTTCACAGCTGTTCCTGAAGTGGATCGGAAAATTATAGTGGGGCTCTGCACTGATGGATGTGGCAAGGTTGGATGGTGGGAAGATAGGTGAAAACAGTATTTGTGTGAGGGGGAGAAAGTGGAAAGCAGTTACTGTGATAAATTCCCCAGATGGTGATGAGTTCACTGCTTTTCCCTACTTTGTATGTATGCATTAAGAGCCTTAATGCAAATGAAATGTTTTCTGTTCGTGAAATTATTACATCTCTCTGGAATGCTCAGATGAAGAGAAGAGATAAGAAGAGGCTACAAGAGTCGTCCTTTTTCCCTGTGCCCCCAACTTGCTGGGTAGCCTTTTCAGATGCAGTGGTGGGGATTATTTTCTCCCAGTAGCTGTCTTAAATGTAACCATTGTTAGAATCTAACCTGAAATCCTGCCTCTCCCTCAGACTTGAGCATCTGCCTGCAGCCCTGAGCTAGGTGCTCATTCACATCCCCAAACCCTCTTCTGCACTTATACTTTTGACTTTGGGCCACAGGATCAGGCTCTTTTCCACTCTCTCTGTGGTCTCCTGAACGTGTCCTCCTGCCTTGCCTGTACAGTGGTTTAGCTGCCATAAGAGTGGCAGAGGGTGCCCCCATGCAGCCTGGCCTAGTCTTATGGTTAGGGCCCTCTCCTGGCATGGGAATGATGCAGGTTTGAACCCTGTAGAGCTTAAGCTAGCTTTGAACTTGGTGTTCTGTTTCCTGGATGACTGCTGTAACTCCTAGACTTGCATAAAAAGTGAATTCCTCCTCATCTGGATGCTTTTGGATGGCAGTGGTCATGGCTGCAATGCTTTGTGCTGAACTCAGTGCTGTCAGTGTGCATTAAAGTATGTTCCTAATAGAGCAGGACACATGGGCAATGAGGATGCCTAGGTCTTGAATGCCTTGTAGCCTTACGCATGAGAGAGGTGGTGAGATGTTTAGTGTAACCAGGTGGCAGTACCTTTCTATATGTGCAGAACTTCAGGGATTCAAGTACTTGAGGTAAAATGCCTAGGTTATTTCAGGTGCTTAAGGGATGAGACTGGTCTGGATTACTGTCTTGGGCTTACCATATTTACTTGAATCCAAGATAAGGTTTCTTTCCTCACCCCCCCAACTTAACATGGGGTGAAGGGCCCCTTGTCTTAGATTTGAATACAAGATAGCAGGAGGGGTGGGTGATCCTCCCCCTCTATGCGGCACTGGTCAGGCCGCAGCTGGAGTACTGCGTCCAGTTCTGGGCGCCGCACTTTAAGAGGGATGTGGACAGCATCGAGAGGGTCCAGAGGAGGGCCACTCGTATGATCAAGGGACAGCAGGGTAGGTCCTATGAGGAAAGGTTGCGGGACCTGAACCTGTTCAGCCTTCAAAAGAGAAGGCTGAGGGGGGATCTTGTGGCCTGTTATAAACTGGTTAGGGGGGATCAGCAGGCGCTGGGGGAGTCCCTGTTCCCCCGAGCGCCGCAAGGAGTGACCAGGAACAATGGTCACAAGCTGGCGGAGGGAAGGTTTAAGTTGGACATCAGGAGGCGCTACTTCACGGTCAGGGCGGCTAGGGTCTGGAACCAGCTTCCAAGTGAGGTGGTGCAGGCTCCCACCCTGGGGGTTTTTAAGAGGAGGTTGGATGACCACCTTACTGGGGTCGTTTGACCCCAGTGCTCTTCCTGCCGTGGCAGGGGGTCGGACTAGATGATCTGCTCAGGTCCCTTCCGACCCTAGAAACTATGAAACTGCTGCAGCTCTGGCTCTGGCCTTGACCTACCACTGCCCCTACCCCCTGCAGCACATAGTTGCTCTGGTCCCAGTCCAGTGGTGCTGGAAGAACCTCCAGCCCACGCAGCTGCCACTGGGACTGGAGCAATCATGTGCTTTATGCCCCAGGCTGGAGTAGGGTCAGAGCCTTGTCAGAACTGGAGGATAAGCAGTGGCAGGGAGGGTGCAGGTGTCAGAGGGTGCAAGCGTGAGTGGGAGAAGTAGTGGGGAGCAGTCACCACCTGGGGGGAGCAAGTGCTGGGGCACACAGGCATAGGGAAGGCATGTGGTGTGGGGGACAGGCACCCTGGGGCAAGGTGAAGGAAGGCAAGGGGCCAGGGTCAGGTTGCTTGACCGTCCCTCCCATCATGCACCCTTCCCCCTTCAATTGCCTGTCGTCTTGCTATTGGTTTCCCTGCTGCAACGGTGGGGCAGGGATTATCCCTCCAATAATTTAATTCTATACATGGAAAAATGATGAATGTTATAATTTTCTATGTATAGAATCCTGTTATTGAAGGGCCATCTTAAATTTGTAGTTGTCTTGCATTTGGATAAATTGGCTAGTCACCTTCATTACTTTTTTACAGCTTGCCCTTAAGCACTAATCCACACAGTTTTAAGCTGTCTGCACTTAAAATTTTTCTTGCATTCTTTATTTTTGGTCTTTTCCCAGTGTAAGAAAGATATGGGATAATGGCAGGTGGAGGAGCCAGATGCATAGCGCAACTTTTTGACCACTGGTGGCTACATGTAATTGGGATAATCGGGTCTTATTTCTGAAGTTGATAATTTGTTCTTACCCTAATTGAAAACATATCTAGTTGAAGCTTGAAATCAGTTCTGTTTAAAGTAGTTTGGTAATTGTCACTCAGATCCAGTCCTTGTTCAAGTTTGTGAAACTGTGTTGCTCAGAACCAAAAGTTACACACTCTTCTTCTGTCACAGAAGGGTTTGTTATCTTAGTTTAGACTTCATTTCACTAAAGTAATTCAATAATTTTCCACTGAAAAATATCCTATAAAATAAAAATAGGTTTTAGGAATAAATAAGGAAAAGCAGCTTTACTTGGGGAAAATGCCATCTGTTTTTATCTTAACAATCCACCAAAGCCATTCTGAACTGTTGCTCTTCTCCTGGAGAGTGATAGGTCTTCCATTCTGTAGTGCTGAGCAGGGAATATCTCCTTCCTTGTTAGCTCTTTCTTCCCTTGACCTTTATTCCTAGGTAGTCTGTCCTTCACCTTTAGGCTTTTGTCTCTGCGAGGGTAAGGGTAAATTAAAATTTTCTAGGAACATTTCTTCCTCTGGGCTTTTGGCTCTGGGGGTGGGGGAGGTGAGGGAATATGCAGTAATTTCCTGGGAGCTTAACTTCAACTTTTGTGCCACCAGCTTCTAGGTACTGCTACCAGTTGCATTTCCTTCTCAGTCTCAAATGAAAATTCAGGATGGGAAGGGTTAGGTTCGTCTCTAGAGCCTTTCTTTATTTGGGGAAATTACTGTTATCTTAGTTAACTTAGTGAAGAGTACACAGAATATATATAGCCTTTAACCAGATTGTATTTCAAGATGTAGTAAAACAAGCACACAGGCTCATAAGATTTATTTCTTCAAGTGCTTTTCAGACAGTGCTGTGCTAGCTTATTATTCCTCTTGGGCTCCAACTCATAAATTACCTGGTCATCTCCAACCACTTGTATTATTGCATTCTTTGCTGCTGGTTTAAATCAAATGAATTTACTAAGTAGCTGTAAATTACCAAACAGGCCAGGTTAGTGTGCCCTGAGGGCTTATGTACATCCCTCCAATGTAATACTAAACACAGCAGTATGTGTTTTTTTTGTGTGTAGTCTCCTGCCTAGGAACTCTTTGGTGTAATAACCAAGCATGGGCTTTATCCCCCTATTCTGTACATCACTGCAATGATATATGGCATGAGCTATTAGGATAAGGAAATAAAGTAAAGCTGAAAAAGTAAACATGCTGAGAAATCAGTTGGATTTGATGTACTGACTGCAGTTGTCGGTGAGGGAAGCAGAAAGTGGCAGCTCTGCAGTTGTAGGTTCATGATTCTTAATTTCTAATGCATTTAGGATTCCTGTCAGAACTTGGATAATCCCGAAGTAATAGGGACTTTGAACTCATGGAAGCAAAATACAGAAGTTTATGTATTTCCTCACTCTTATTGACAATGTAAATGTACCAATTAAGGTTTTTTTAACTTAAAAAATAGGATTAAGCACTTCTATTTTTTAGCACATTGAGAGTTGCTGGTGAA